ACACAGAGGTGATGATAGATTTGTGACTTCCAGCAAACCCTTAGATAGTAATCTATAGGCAAGGGATGATGGTTCAATTATAAACACGGAACTATTCTGCTAGCTGCGGAGTCAGTAATTGGCCCATGACTGACTTTAGGGTTCAGGACTTGTTTTGCCTCAAGGTGGTTGCTCAGATGCTGCTCCACAACCACCCTTGACAATCGAGTCAGCATATGGATATTATTCGATGTGCTGAAGGAGAAAATATGTCGGATACTACTAGCATTCAGGGAACAAATTGGTGATTGATTCGTAGAGTCTTGTTATCATCGGGCAGATATAAATAGCTGGGATTGAAATACGCAACTCCAAGATGTGGTAGCGGTGATAAATGGTGGTGATGGTGATGCTGTTGATTATGAATGGAGATATCTTTGGATAAATGAGAACTGGCTACTACTGCGTAGTTGTCAAAACCAAGATACGTGGTTTAATGCTAGTATATAGTAGAACTGCCTTCGTGGTAGCACAAAGTTGCGTTGAAGAAGCGAGGTATATACAGGCGTGAACCTTCCTTGACCCAGCGGCTGTTCCTGGCCTCACTCACTGGAAGAGGAATGGCCTGGTTGCTGCTTTGTTGGGCTGCACCCTATTTTTTGGGCATTTCATCAACAGAGGACAATACATACTAGTAAACAATATAAACAATGGCTATGTTGGATAATTTGTTACCAGTATGCTCTCGTGCTGCCTTTGTTCTGCTGGTAAACAAATACCACTTGTGCTGTGGTTGCATGTATGGTCAACCCAGAACAGAAAAATGTACCTGGAACGACCGCTCTACGCAGTATATTGTAGTATCTCTTTGTTGACGATTTGATTGAAATGTGTAGCTAGCCCCGAGACTTGAGATAACATTGAACTCCGTAAATACTAGTTAGCACGGAGTATTATTGAAGTCAACGGGCTCGACTTCATCCTCCTGCCTGAGAGCAAAAGCGGCACGGGTCTAGATCACGTGAAAACCTTATCACCACAGCGATGGGCCAATGTTGACGTTTTGACGTTGGACCCGAATCGAGGATGCTTTTGCCATTTTTTGCACCTCAACCTCGTCTCCAAATTCCATCGTTAACCCCTCCGCCACATGAAAACAAGGTCGACATCGTTTCTTGTCCTCCGATTAATAACCTGTATCCGAATACTTACATCTGAGTTTTTTCAGTTGTTGTGCCGCTTCTCCCGAGTTGAATGCGGGAAGTCTCTCACCAATACCTCTCTCTCCCACGGCCACACTCCGTCTAGTCGCTGCAGGCAAATATTTAAATGACCAGCAACTCCCTTGTCGTTTGATCGGGGTTTCAATTTCAGCGATATTTCCTTGGACGTTATAAGGTACATTTTTACGTATCATCATGACACTCTTTTTCTTTTTCCTTCAGAATGTTCCGTGGTGACCCCATGCCGTCGTGGTGGGTCGTTGGGCATCAATGGAAATTTAAGAGGAGTAAGGGGAGTTTGTGTAGGTGCTAAATAAATGAAGTAGTTAGGCAAATCAGTTTGGCAAAGAGCATCGCGCTTGCAGCCTCGCAAAATGGCGGAGCAAGAAGAGGACTTCAGTTCCTTGCCTCTACCAGATAGATTTGTCCATAAGGTGAGCCCTGCGATTTCCCTCCATCTTTTCTTTTTAATATTGCCCCAACCACCCGGCAATTGGCTTGTTATTGGTATTGACATATGAATAAACATCGAAACATAGAATTGGAAAGTTAGAAAAGGGGGATATGAGGACGCTACAAAACAATTCGAGCTATCACCCGACGAATCGGATCCCGTGTTTCGACCGTTCCTACAAGACCCAGGGCTATGGAAGGGTGCCGTCGCCGATTCGAATGTAGCGGCACAGCAGGAGGGTTTAAATGCGTACTGCGCCTTTTTGAAATATTCTGGAGTGCAAGGATGCACGAGGTATGCATAGAATTCCGACGTATGCTGGAGTTGGACCGGGAGACACGTTTGGAGACGGGCGAAGTACACTGACGCTGAAACTAGGACTCGTGGATCGACAATTGTTGCCATCACCGAAAAAGGTTTACCATCAACTCGACCTGCAGCGAAGGCCAGCGCATTGGAAGCTATTCTACTTTGTATAGAACTAGATAAGCCCGAGCCCGTTATCGAGGATCTAATGGCGGCGCTGTCCCCTTTAATGGCCCAAAGTCATCGCACCGTCCCTCGCCGCATTGACAGCCGTA